CATGGGATATCACTTGCAAACAACCAACATCTAGCATAAATATAGATTGTTCATATGGAACAATATACCCAGTAGATATTGATCTGGATATGACAACCATAAAAGAAAGAATAAGAACACTTGGCCAAATGACAAATATTCAAGAAGTGATAAGGATAAATAAAAGCAATAAAGAAAAAGACAAGACGGAAAAATGGATCCCAACTAAATCACTCAGAATAACATTCAAAGGACCACTACCCGAAAGGGTAGCAATAGGTCACACATCATACCAAGTAAAGCAGTATACCTTCCCGATACCTAAGTGTTATAATTGCCTCAGATATGGACATGGGATCCTCACGTGTAAAAACAAAAAAGATGTAGTAAATGCAGTAGTACAGAACATAATTTTAAAGATTGCAACAATAATCCATATTGCTTTTTCTGTGAAGGTGATCATATACCAAATAGTAACTTATGTAAAATACATAATAAAGCACAAGAAATCAACAAAAACAATTATACACCAAATAACTTAGAAATCAAAAAACAATTACAGCAACTTAAACCCACTACAGAACAAACTAAAAATAATACAAACAATGAAACACATGTAAAAGCAAAAGAAAACACTAATGTAACTAAAGAAATAACACAGGACAACACAAAAAATGAAAGTAAAAGCCACCACCAAAAAACACCTCAAACTTATGCACAAACAATCTCACAAACAAAAAACATTACACCAGGACAAAAAACACCCCCGAGACAAAGAATCCAAAATACAAAATTAAAAGCAACACCAGAAACAAACACACAAACAAATCAAAAGGAGATAACAAAACTGCAAAACACAAACAAACAAAAACTAACAAATCCAGAACAATCCCCAATAACATGGACATTACCCACACCCATTACTCACTCTCCACACCAACACTCACTACCCACACCCCTTACACAGTCACATCACTCGTACCAATCACCCCAAACTAATACCCATAATCATAAACAAAAGATAAATGAAAAAAAAGAAGAAGAAAACTTAGATTGGATGATCACCACAAAAAATATAATAAAGGCAATATCAAATCTGATGACCAATATTAACTCGGGAAAAACAATTTTTAAAATAATTATGGAAACAATTAATGATTTTACCCCAATCTTAAAACAAATAATGTCATTGATTAATGAATAAGTTAATAGCTTGGAATGCACACTCAATACAAAAAAAAAAAACAGACCTGAATTATTTAATATTTAAAGAAAATCCGGGGCTGATCGCCATAAGCGAAACCTGGTTAAAAGATAAAGACAACTTTAAAATAAATAACTATGAAATAATTAGAAAAGATAGGGAAAACCAAATTGGAGGAGGACTAATGTTATGTGTAAGGAAAGATGTACAGTATAGAAAATTGGATATAAATGATAGATATGAATATAAAATTGAGATCATGGCAATAAAAATTCAATTTAGAGAAAAATGGATAGATATCATGCTAATATACAACCCTTGTAACAACATAACAAAAGAAGAATTTCAATATTATTTAGACCAAATACAAGAACCAAAATTAATACTAGGGGACTTTAATGCACATCATCCCATTTGGAACCCAGAAACAAACATACAAAATAACATAACAGGAAATAACTTAGTGGAAGTGATAAATCAAAATAATATAATATTGTTAACACCAAAAGGACAAATAACTCGTATAGACCCAAAAACAAATCGAGAAGCCACCTTAGACCTTGTTATAGGCTCACCCTCAGTAAGCCATCTAATAATAACAACAGGTCCGCATTTGCATAGTGATCACATGCCAATTATAATAAAAGATGTTAATTATCAGATCTCAACAAAAATGTTAGAAAAGAAGTGGAAATTCACAGAGGAAGGTTGGTCTGCTTATGAATCAGAACTTAATCAAACGAATATAAATATAAATACACTTGAAGAACTAACAAAACTAATAAAAGATACAGGAGAAAAACATTTTAAATTCAGTAGTATAAAAATAAACAACAAACCAAACAAACCATGGTGGAATGAAAAATGTAACGAAATAATAAAAAAAAGAAATAAGGCATATAACAAATGGAGGAGAAAACCAAATACACAAAATAGACTAAATTATAAAAAATTAGCAACAGAAGCTAAACAAACAATTGATAAAGAAAAAAAGGAATCATGGGAAAAGTTTAGTGCCTCAATAAATTTCAAAACTCCTACTAAAAAAGTATGGAACTTTATTAAAAAACAGACTGGTAAATCAACAACAAGCGAATATCCTCTAATAAATAATAATTTCCCAGTTATTCAGATATCAAAAAAACTAGAACTATTCAAAGAAGAATATGAAAATATAACAAATAAACAAACAAAAAAATTTCTTACAAATATAGAGAAAGAACAATTACTAAATACTAATAAAGAAGATGATATAAATAAGAATATAACATTAGAGGAAATAAAATATGTTGTAAAGAATACAAAAAATGGCAAAGCATACGGCCCTGATAAAATAACATACGAATTTTATAAAAATGCTCCTAAAAACATATTAGAAATAATACTAAAAATCTTCAATAGATATTGGGAAAAAGGTGAATACCCATATGAAATAAAAAAAGCACTAATAAATCCAATCCATAAACCAGGGAAAGACCCAACAAATGTAAGTTCATATAGATTCATAAGCAGAACACCCTGTATCGGGAAAATATTTGAAAATATAATAACTAGAAGAATAAACTGGTGGTTAGAAAACAACAAACTAGATGAAGATATAATGGGTTTCAGACCAAATAGAAACACAATCGATGCAATACAAATAATAGAAAATAAAATAAGACAAGCAATAAAAGAAAAAAAATATACACTAGTAGTTTGCCTAGATTTCGAAAAAGCATTTGATTCAATCAATCATGAAACGATATTAATAAAAGCCAAAAATATTGGATTAGGAGGCAGAATATTAAAATGGATAAATAACTTTCTAACAGAGAGAACCTTCCAAATAAAAATAGGAGAACAAAACTCAACAACAGGAAAAATAAAAAACGGAGTCCCACAAGGATCTCCAATTAGCCCAACATTATTCAATATAGTAATGTCAGATATAAAAATACCTAAAGAAACATACAAAATTATTTATGCAGACGATCTAACACTGATAACCTCAAATATAAATATAACAGAAGCCAAAAATAATTTAGAACATAGCTTAAATATAATAAAAGAATGGTCAGCTAAATGGAATCTAAGAATAAATCCAACAAAAAGTAAAGTAATGTGCTTCACAAACAAAAAAATAGAACAATACCCAACAATAAAAATAGGAAATGATGAAATAGAATTTACAAACAACCACAGTATATTAGGAATAAATTTTGATGCACCAAAACTGACCTGGAAAAACCACGTAACACATGTAAAAACAAAATCAATGAATAGAATGAATATAATGAAGAAATTGACATCATTAACCTGGGGAGCCAACAGAGAAACCTTAATGAAATATTAAAATATATACATAAAACCAATAGTAGAATATGGAATTACAATATATGGCACAACAAACCAAACAGAACTTAAAAAACTAGAAACCATTCAAAACAATGCAATAAGAATAGCAACAGGATCCTTCAGATCAACACCAATAATAGTACTGCAAGCAATGACAAACCAAATACCCATAGAAAAAAGGATAAAAGAATTAGAATGTATTCAATTAGTAAAAAATCTAGAAAAAAAAGATAACATGCCAATTAAACATCTAACCTTAAAGAACATCGAAAATTTTAATCCAAATAAAGACAAAAAGACACTAATATATAGAGTAATTGAAACATGCAAAAAATGGAAAATAAATTTAAAAACTAATAAAATTCCAAACATATCCCCAATTCCACCATGGTCTAACATCCAACAAAACTTAGAACCAAATTTCATGGAAGATATGAATAAAAACACACCGCACCAAATGATACAACAACACTTTCACCAACTTGAAAACACAACATACATAGACTATCACAAAATATACACAGACGGCTCAAAAATAAAAGAACCAACATCAACAACAGCAGCAATATACATACAAAACAAAAACATCACAACAATTTGGAAACTACAAAATAAAACACAGATAATAGAAGCAGAACTTTTCGCAATCAAACAAGCATTAAACTACATTAACAATAACCAACTACAAAAAACAGTAATTCTAACAGATTCACAAACATCCATACAAGCGATAAAGAGCAACAAACCAGCAAAATACAAACAAATAATATACGAAATACAATCACTATTACACACACTAGACAATAAAAAACAACATGTAAAACTACAGTGGATCCCATCACACAAAAATATTAAAGGAAATGAAATAGTAGACAGAGCTGCAAAGAAAGCTCATGAAATAAAAGATCCCATAGCCATGACTCAAAATTCAATAAATATAATAAGAGAAATAAAAAAGAAAAAACAAGAGAATTGGATAACCAATCTAAAAGAAACACTAAACACAAAAGATTACTATATTAAAGACAACATCCCCCAACCATGGGCAAGATCACAAAATAGAAAAATTGACGTGTGCATAACAAGAATAACAACAAAACACACAAGGTTAAAAAAACATTTATACAAGTTAAAAATGGAAGGAGACCCAATGTGCAGATGGTGTTACAACCAGGAAGAGACACCTGAACATCTAATCCTACAATGCCCAAGATTTAACTTACACAGAATCAATTTATTACAATCACTAAATAAAATAAAAATACAAACTCCTGACTTAAACTTGTTAATTACAGGTGCAGACCAACCACCAGCAAAGAAGTATTACATTCTGAGACACACAAAAATCTTCCTACAAAGAACAAGAATAATAGATATAATCTAAAAACAACGAAGACCCACAGAAGAAAATCCAGGGAGTATAGACTACTATATAGTCTAAAACCCTATAAAAGAAGAAGAAGAAGAAGAAGAAGAGTAAAGAAGACATTTGAATTTGGGGGATAATGCGGTAGAACAGTAGGTTATCATGCACGAATACACAGTGTTATAGATCCAATTTCAAGTTTCTAGGAAGTCAGCAACTTATTTTAAAGATTTTGCTCTTATATAAATTTATGTTAAACCCAGTTATATCACAGCGTAGGTTGCTATGAGCAAGTTCGTGCGGATTGATCTTCATCGAACTATGATATTTTGTTGAATTGAAAATGTAGATAGATCTTAATGAAGCATTACGGCACTTTATCATTTTTAAACAGTATTATCAGTGAAGCTTGTATTGATTTTGTGTAAAGTATATCAGTGACTGTTAACAGGAGTGATTCTGGAGTAATATCTTGTTTCGTAAGTATATTGATGCGAAGGTATTCGGAATATTTACCTTAGATTGATATTTGCATTTGTTCAGTAGGGATTAAAGATTGGAAGTGCATATATATGTTGTACATGTAACAATGAATACAAATTGAAAAGAAATGTTCTCATGAATCTTGGATATTGTGAATGTGATGAAGTTATTTATTGTTATGTATTTGAGTGCTAATGATAATTCTCTATTTATTGTAAAATGAGATTAGGCCTTATTCAATCAGGGTCAAGAAGTTGGTTTTCATGATAGATGGCTATTGAAAAAACACCCAAACCAAGCAAAATATGAGGTATTAAAGCAATCACTGGAAATTTTAAATATGTGAAGCTCAGTTATCTAATCCAAAAGTCCACAAATTTTTCAGCAGAAAAACCAAGAGTTTTTTTTAAAAGGTATGTACCAACAATGAGCATTGTGAGACATTAATAAGAGGAAAATCGCTAGGAATGGAGCAACACTTCCTCCATTTGGGATTTACATTAACTCCCAAAAGTTCTTCTGCCTGTTAGGTAATGTTGTTTTAACAGATGTATATATTTTGTAAAATTACAGTTAATTAATATTTAATAAAAGGTTTGGTTGTTTTTTTTTTCCTTTATTTTTGAAGAGTTGATATACATCATTTAAATAGTTAGGACATTTAATGCAGTATGAGGAATATAGCTTAAATCTAAATTTGTTATAGTTTGCTCTTCATTTGAATTTTTTTTTATTTCAGCATGACTAAGATGAATTCAGGCAAAAGGGCAAGCTCTGCAAAAAACAGCAGAAGGAGACGCTGGGAAGTTAAATCCAAGGAATCCTTTGAGACTTCACTTGCTGTTGAATTTGAATCCCCTGAGAAGAGTCAGAAGAGTGAGACAGAGGAAAACACAGGCTCAACAAGTAGTTTGCCCAAGGATAAAGAAGAAGCTACCAGTGCAACTTCAAAACCACGCAAATCTACACGTTCAAAGTCAGCAACCCCAAGCAAAGTCATAGATGAGGAAGAGGAAGATGACCTTCTGTCAGCTAGGATTGCTGCTCTGATAGAAGAAGCTAGTATTAAATCTAAAGACTCTCCAAAGGCACCCAAAGAGCCAGGTAGCATTGGCCCTACCAAGGAAAAGCACAAAGAACCTAGAACTCCAGTAAAACCTGAACCCAAGGAAAACCCAGAGTTAATTCTTGTAGCTAAAAATGACAAAAATATAATGTTTCCAAATCCATTTGATACCCCAGTAAAGCATCATACCATAGAACAAGAAAGTTTTACACCCACAGCACCTCCATATTCACCAGGAGGAGGAGTAGAAGAAATTCCAAGGAAAAAGAAGCAGAAAAAGAAGAGTGACTCCAGCAGGCTCATGCTAGTCAGCAGCAAGAATGAAGAGTCTGTGATAAGCGTCCAGCTTCGAGATTTGGGTGAAGATGTAGTTGAAGTGAGCAGAGAGTATCAGGACCCAGTAGTTGCAATGCCAAGCCTTCTTCTGGCTCCCTCTACTTCAACTCCAGGCCAAAACAACATAAGCACTATTTATCATGAGCAGCTGAATGGGTTTATAATCAGTAAGAACAATGGTAATGGAAGGCAGAGACTGAGTGAGAGTCTTCATGATGTTAATCAGAGTCAGACAAGGGGCTCTCATGCACTCTTCTTGCAAAATGGTTTCCGATCATTTTGTGTTCTGTGCCAAGGATTGCTGGCTGGAATAACACTTGCACACTGTCTTTTGGTAAGCTTAGCTATTGTTTTTTTAAATCAAGGTGCATTATATAGATATATGCTATTAAGAATGGTAGAATAATGTTAATAAAATGAAAATATTTGTATAATGGAACTTACATTATTTTGTCGTCTCGAGAAATGACTGCACACTGTATTTCTTTTTTTTTGTCTAGATTTTTCTTTTTGATGTGGAACCCATGACCTTGCCCAGAGTCTACACACCCAGGATGGCACATGTCTTCTATTCTCTGATAATTTTCCTGTCAACAATATGCTTTGTGGCTGCTTGTGACAGGTAAACAAAGGCTAAATTTATATAGGGAACACAAAGAGAAAGATAGAAATACAAGGCTAAAATTGAAAAGATGAGGAAATGATGATTATTTAAACCGATAGAAGATGATCCGAAAAGGAGTGAGAATTCATTATTTGAATTATTGCAACTATTAATTTGTTTTATAATAAAGGTTAATCAAGGTTTGTTCACTATGCAGAAGTTAGAGTTATGTATTTTCATATTTCATTTTTACTTTTTACATTTCTCTCTGTGCATTATGTGAATGCATAGTAAAAAAAAAAAGACATAGTATATAGTATATAGGCTACATACTAAAAGTACATTGTATTCAGATACCTACAAATTGGTTGTTTTGTAGGTGTGATCTTCGAGGAGCAGGAGTGTTTTCTGGTCATGGCATCAGAGTACCCTGGACACCTGGGTTTTACCTTGCATCTTTGGTTCTCTCACTAGTTGCTATAAGGGCTGAAGATGCACTAACTCACTACCATCTTTATAAGGCCGAAGCCCTTCAGAAAGAGCAGGTATGTATTCAGAGCCTTTTTTCATTATAATGTTATTGCAGTAGATTTTTTATTATTGCTGTGTATGTTCAGTTTTTAACAAAAGACATTTTAAAAAAATATCTGCTGTTGACAACTAATGAATCAAAATGATCATTACTTCGAAGTTCATAAAAAATTGAGGGAGGCACCAGAACTTTAATTGTATCTGAAACAGCATTTGTAAATGATAAATGAAAGTCATTCTGGACAAACCATAATGGCTGTGGATAGCATGACCATAGTAATTTTAGTTTATTAATTGTGTTTCCACGGAGATGGCTCCATAAGTAGTCCTACCTATATCACTTGTTTGCCCTTGTCCCTGATAATTGGAAAGATTCTTTTTTATCATTATATTAATAGTATTAGATAAAACATCCCACAAATTCAAGGAATGGGGAAATCTGGCATGGTCACTAGGACCTTCTAAGTGACTCCTTGGTAGCTGAGCAGTTATGGATCCAACTTTGTTCAACAAGATTCATTAAAGACTACAGAGTACATAAACCTGCAGCCAGTGAGTAAGCCAGTGCTCTAGCACTGACCAAGATGAGGTTATCCTGGCAAGGTGATTAAGCAGAGATATACTACAATATTCAAAAAATGTATGAAATGGGATACTGGGTGCCACTGGGTTTCTGGAATTAGATGTATAAACAAACATCATGCAGTGTCCAATAGCAATATGAGATATTTATTTTTATACTTATTATTTTTGTTAGTATTGTTAGCAGTAGTACTGTCATGATTTGTTATTCATTGTATTTCTATAAGGTAGACACATTTAAGATTATATATATATATATATATATATATATATATATATATATATATATATATATATATATATATATATATATATATATATATATATACATATATATATATATATATATATATATACATATATATATATACATATATATATACATATATATATATATATACATATATATATACACATATATATATACATATATATATACATATATATATATATATATATATATATATATATATATATATATATATATATATATATATATATATATATATATATATATATATATATATATAGTATGTTAGTTCACTTAAAGGGCATTATTCTCACTTCCATCTTCCTTTTTTCAGATTGGAGATCTCGTTGATTGGTGGAGATGGATGTGCATTACTCGGTCCTTGCTAGCTGTTTTGGCCTGGCTAGCTGTGGTCCCAGATCCCCATACAGATGCTCTTCTTGATTATTTGAAACTTCTCCAGCAGTGATATTAATTTAATCCAAGTATTGACTGTGATAGCTCAGGTTTCTTGAAACCTGTATATACTATGTCAGGTCCAAATTTGGTGCATTGATGCATTATTTATGCCTTTCATTTTACTTCTATGATTTTCTGGATATTAAGTGAAGAGAATTGATCTGATGATCAAGCTAACATGATACATGACATGTACTGAGATTCCAAGAAATCCTGCACAAGGCAAGGGAACAACTGAAGTATGTTTTTAACAAATTTTCATATGATGTTCAACATTTTATATTTTACCGACTGACAGGGGACACATTTGAAACCTTGGTTTTGTTATAAGTTAAATCTTATACATATCAAGAATTAGATTAATTATTACAGCTTTAGTGATACTCCAAAGAATTTACTGGTATTTTATTAGTTAACACTGATAAATAACTGAAATAATGTTGCAGTATTAATGCTGTATGTCATTTATTTTTAACTGTATTTTTTTTTCCAGATACAGAAAATAAGTATCAAATACTTTTTAATAGTTTTGAATAACAAATAAAGTTGGTATCATGATACTGGTTTAGCATCTGAATGAATGAAAACTGATGCCATTACAGAACTGGAACTCTGACCATATTCACAAGTGATGTGTAATATGACTAGTCTTGTAGCAATAGATAACCATGTAAACTACTGCATAATATTTCAATGAACTAGGCAATAAGTGCATGACCAACTTACTGTAAAGTTCTATGGAGACCTGTTAAGTACTTCATAATATTTAACTGGTAGAAAGATAATCTTATAGATATGCTTTTCGAAAGAAACACATTTTTTCCTCTCTCTCTCTCTCTCTCTCTCTCTCTCTCTCTCTCTCTCTCTCTCTCTCTCTCTCTCTCTCTCTCTCTCTCTCTCTCTCTCTCTCTCTCTCTCTCTCTCTCTCTCTCTCTCTCTCTCTCTCTCTCTCTCTCTCTCTCTCTCTCTCTCTCCCACATATAAGTAATCACAGTCCTCTGGGTCTGAATTAGCCTCTGAATATAGTATACACTGAATTTTGAATTGTGATGATATTTTAACACAGTAGTAATTATTGGTCAATTTCATAAACAATAGGCTCACTATAAATGCAGTTCATTACACTTTGAGATATTTAAAAGAAAAGATGAAGAGCTTTCAGTAGTCTTGAAATGAAGAGAATTCCCAGAGCAAATGATAATTACATATACATTCTTGAATTCATATGTTTAAATTGTATTTCCAGCCCAGTATTTGAGTAAACAGTATTAAGACTCTTCTTTTGAGTATAAACTTGCATACTGTATAATCTTACTTGATAATTTTACATAATGTGTTGTATGTGTTATTCTATGCTTCATGTCTTGTATGCATTCCTTTCAAAAACAAAAAGTTTGCAGATTCAGGGTAACTTGGATATATTTTATATGTTGCACTGTATAGTGGCAACATTTTTTTTCTTAGTAGTTGTTTTTATATCTAAAATTATTATCATTGAACTTGTTATTAGCCTATTTAATTTTATGATATCAGCTGTACTTCTTTTGGCCTTATTTGTCATGTCTTGAAAATATTTCATTATATGTATCAACTATATGTGTTGATACTGAATTTAGACAATCAGATCCAGTGCTGGATCAGGGAGACAAAAAAGTATTATCAGTGCCTAGAATGAATCTTCATCTTTTAGTGTGTAGAGAAGAATAGCAAACTATATATGCTGTGGATGTCAACTCATGGCCTGCAGGACAAACTTAGCCCTCAGGATGGTCACAAGTGGCCCGTGGTTAAAGAATAATAATTATTAGCTTTGGAGATTATGATCACTATTATAGAAAATAAAATTGAATATGCTCAGTTACCATTAATGTCACTTAAAATCTAATAAACAAGAAAAAATGGCTTGCAAGGGGTTTTGAGTTTGACACTCCTGACATATGCTATTGCTACCATTTGATTGTGAACACTAGCTTTTCTTCAGGGCCTTCTTAATGATAATTATGGTATATACAGCAAAGTTGTATTTCCATATTAGAGTAGCAAAAGATACATTTTGCACACCTGTAATATATTTGCGGTTTTGATGTAAAGTTGTGAGAATGTGACTTAATTTTTTTGACATTCTGCATATTCAGTCATTTTGATCTTTATTCATATTTTGTGAAATACAGCTCCTGATCTTGGATAAGTTTGATATAAGAAAAAGTTATACAGATGTCATTTTTTATTTTTTACTGTACATTTTGAGATGCCTTGTGTTACCTGTATATGAAAAGCAATAATAAATATATTAACAGTATCATACATACTACAGTAAGTTTGCAGATAATATATATTTTGGAAATAATCACAGCATAAAGTCTTCTAGCATATGCAGATTTTATATATGAGTACAATGTAAAAGCTTACCACAAATAACTCAAGTATTGTAGGTTGCACAAATGAAATATACCCTCCAAGTGGTAAAATATGTTAAATGTTGCACATGTACAAATTTCTTCATGGGATATATTTAAGGGCACTAAAACCACATATAGTTAATTTTAGATACATTACCATGAAGAGTTGGACTAGAAATATAGCTAATTTTATGTTTGCCATAGACATACTAAGATTGACCTATTGGTTAACGAATATTATACCATAAGGTTGCAACTTTGTGTTAATCAGTTGTATTTCTGTCATTACAATTATAATTCATGTAACAGCTAAGCTAATTTAGCAAGAAGTGGCAGCTTCAGACAGGTATAAACAAATCTATGTCAATATGAAGCAAACTGAAGCTGAAGGTGCAGAAATGCATTTACCAGGAATATAGTTGAATGAATATTAAACTAGTCATATCTTTATTCTGTATTTTCATGTTTTAGTTTCTGTGTTAATGCTGTTTTATTTTTCAAAAATGAAAATAAATGTAATTTTCTAAGTCTGTCTTTCTCTTTATTTTTTTGTCTTTACTTTCCTGTTCTCCATGCCCCAACACACTTAATAAGAAAAAAATCTCTCATATTCCTGTTTTCTTCTCGTTTCTCAAAATAAAAGATATTCGAAAGAAAAAGATAAGTATATAGAAATATGTTCTGTCACCCATGTCACAGAGCAATTTTCTCACAACTTGTTATTATACCCATTATCTATTACCTATTACCTATTATTTTAGGATTACTTAGAGAAATGTGGGAATGAATAAAGTCTTGTCTACAGTGACATATTTTGATCTGAGATTTATGCCTGTTCTAGAATAATGAAAATAATGATAACAACAATGATAATAATGATAATGATAATGGTAATAAAAACAAC